AAAGAATCGCATAATAAAAATATTGACCCTGAATTGAGGCTTAATCTGACGTATATGTCCCCAGCTCTTACGCATTTTGCCTTCCTTCATGACATTGATCTGTTTGCATCTCGCTTAAATCGTCAATTTGGTCGCTACAATTCTTATAGAACAGATCCTTACTCACATGCTATTCTTCCGCAAGATAATAGAAGAAAGGACAGGGAATTTAAATTTTTCTGGACTGGCCAACTCGGTGTTGGTACACATTGTTGGTACAAATATTAAAGAAACCACTTCGACGTCTACCACCGAAAACCGACTTACTGATTCTTTCCTTTCAACCCAATCTTAAACACTCATAACAAAAGAAACTGAACATTCTTAACTGTCTTGTACCCAGGGTAAACTACAAGTTAAAGGTTTTCTTCGGAGACAGTAAACATTATTCTAAACTCATGGCGTGATGGCACCAGCATAAGCTAAGAAAAATGGAGAGTTAATCTTGTGTTTGTGCTCATGCTTATGTTGAAAGTAAGGACAAATGTATCTTATGCACGAATACTCGACAAAGGTCAAGCAGTTGATAACATTAATGGAAAACACACATTATAGTTCACCCAACAAATATATTTCTCTCACATCACAATGAAGAGTATAGTAATATTTAAAACTGATTCAGTTTTTGAAAAGCATTGTATTTTAAAATTCTTTAATCACCATGAAAACACTGTAATTTTCCTTTTTTTCTTCATGCCAACACGCTTGCCCCAAAATATAAATCAAACATAGATCCTCACTTGCTAAAGAAAACCCTGAAATTTGCTATGAAAAATTTTGTATTGTAACGCATTTTTGCATAATAAATCAGGTATTCAATGGGGTTTACCTATCAGGACAAATGGGCCTATTATCAACTGTCCACATTTAAACCATGGAAAAATCTAGTGATAACTGATGAAATAATTCCTGACTTGCGTTATTTTAAACAATCAAATATCCTGAAAAAAATTTAATTAACAGCAATTCATAGCTTGCAATCAAAAGAAAATTTGCCGAAACTTTTGCTCCTACAGTAAAATTTTTTCACAAACTTATTACACATTTCTTTGGAAAATTCGTTTCTTGCACTCTTATTTTCGTAAATGGACACAAAAATGTTTGCATTGTACCATTAAGAAAGTGCAAAGAAGATAAAGTACACTGTGTGTGGATTTTCTGATATCTTATTTGTAGCATATCGATCCTATCCGTTTAAACCATCCCTCTTCATCCATTTAAAATAATCTATTTTATTGGAACATGTTAATAATAATCTGCCCTACGTCATCATACATTATTATTCAACGGTGATTAAAAAAAGACAACAGAAACGGCGGCAACTAAATATTGCAAACATTTATTATCCTACAGAGAATACATAAACAAATGTGAATTTAAGTTACCTGTTTATGTGAAAAGTTAGATGAAAAATGTATCTTATAGCCGGTACTCTATCCGTACAAATGGAAAGAAATACGATAACAACGGCGACATAAATAAGGGCGAAAACAACTGCGATAGAGACCAAGTCGATAACAACAGCGATATGAAGCAATGAGACAACATCTGCTATGAAAACAAGAGTGATGACAACTGGTATACGAACATTTATGATAATAAGAGAAAAGGGAACGACGTCTGCGTCGACGAGGTGAATGTTTTTCGAACTTTGGATAAGCTTCATCATCATCTCTACACAACACAAAGCTTAATATCAGTCATTGAGTCAGTGAGTCAGTGAGTCAGTGACTGACTCGCTGACTGACCGACTGACAGACTCACTCACTCACTCACTCACTCACTCACTGATTGACTGACTGACTAGGAAATTTGCACTAATAAACTCTTTTAGATAGCCTATCATGTCATTTAATTCCAACCGAGTCGAATTTTCCAACAATTGTTTTTTATGACATGTATGCATGATTCGCTGTATGAGATGTTATGTTTTTTTTCCAGGAGGGAAATGATTAAACTTTAATGTTCTACCTTGATTACCTTCTGCCTTTTAAATATAAACGTTATGGGTAAATAAAATCATTATTACAAATGTCTCAAGCGCAATTTCCCACAATTCTATTGCCTCTGTTGTACATAAATAATACTATGTCCGACTATTTGATTGTCCAAATGTTGTAATTTGATCTCATTTTTGTTACAAGTGTCTTGACCGTCGAAAAGATGGATTCTACCAGACTTCTCGTTCAATGAATGTCATTCTATCTATCTGGTTTTTGACGTGATCAAACTGAATTAGTGAGTTATAAAAGATCTAAATTGTTTGACTTTTTCAAAGCATACATGTTTTTTATATGATTGTTTCAATTAAAAATTATTGCTTGCTTTTGTTTCAGCTCATATTTATAAACAAATGCATAGCGTCAGTGATTTGCCAAACCTGCACTAGAATATATTGTTTCTACATATTTTCATGTGAAGTATTTTTCCTAGAATGTACCAATAAATGCGAAAGCTAACTATGTATAGGAAATGCACCTACGAAACACCTAAAACATCACCTAACATTGCAGCATGAACTAACTTGTACTATAGTTTACAATGATTGACACATGACTTTTCTTACTACTAGGATAAAATCCATAACAATAGATTGACAAGAAAATAATCATCCCATGCATCATTCCTAACTCATTGTACTTCTCATAAATGACATGTATTCATAACTGACATTGGTAAAAGAATTGATGATTGTAACAATTACTTCATTGCACTCGTTCAACGAGACTATGACTCATAGCAAGATGTGGGTAGGGCTGATTGTTATCAAAGAAACAAAGTAATCTTTTCGAGGGGATATTCTTTCTCAGTTTCTTTCTTTAATCTCCTAAAGTTTCTGAATAGTTAGCGAATAGAGTTTGATAGTTTTGAAGAAAAGAGAATATTTTAGCCCTGCGTGCAAAGTACGTCATGTACTCCAAATAGCTAAGATTTTCTCTAACGCATTTTACAATGCAAATATGTTTTAAGTAATGTATTTTGACCGACTCGGAATCCACAATTTCTATGATGTCTTTAAGCAAAGGTCATTTTTCTAGGTGCTACATTTCTCCACCCTCTCTAAATCCGTTATTCTAACTGTAAGGAAAAGCAAAATTTTGTGAACATTACGTGATAAGTATTTTAAACGTCTCCTTAATGCCATAAAAAGCTGATCAAAGATGACGAAGAATATTTCAATGTAAGTCGAGCACTAAATCTTTTTCACCACTTTAGTCAAATTGACGTTTAGTCGTTTGCTGCATAAAGCTTGTAGCTAATGAATACCCTTGTAGACTTCTGTATGAACACGCATTATCAGAAAGAATTATCAATAACATTCATTTCAGAATTATCAATAACATTTCCTGTTTTGTATTTTCTTCATCTTGAATTGTAGCTGGGCAAGTTAGGGTGCAAACCAAACCAAGAGCAAAAACAAGATAAGTTATCTTCGTCGTGAATTATTTAACCTGTCTTTTTCCTCTCAAATGCTGGCTCTTGAATGATGATCGAAGACAGTTTGGGCATCTTTGTAGCTATAGAAGAGCCATAGAAAAAATGCGTGATCCGATATCATGGTTATACAAAATAACCCGTCGAATGCTGTAGACAGACAGCCGAAAGCTTGTTTAAAGTGCCTATGTCAGAAAATGAGACTTTACATTTTGAAAACTATGGTCAAAATGAGTTATTAAGTTCTAAAACAAAATTTAAATTGGAGTTATAGTTTTAGCCTTCGCCTAAACATTGACTTCCTTTAAGCAAAAATCCAGAAAACTGCGCAAATGAGACTGATGCGAATTACGAAATTTACGTCACAATAGGAACTCGTCCTACTTTTATGTATGGAAATCCTATTACGTGAGGTGTTTTATCAAAGCTAACACCCCGCCAAAAGTCATCAAAATTGAAAAACTCCAAACGGTATTGTTGTGAAAGGTTGTTCGAATGTCATAAACACAGAGAAAGAAATTTCACTACATTTTAAATCGTTTTACACCCGAAGATAAATCAAGACGTAACCAGTGGATTGCTCTTCTGAGCTAATGCGCATAATGAATCTGTGAGAAAAATTGACCATTCGTTCCGAGTATTATGCAAGAGAGGCTTTCACACTTATTTTTGAATGTCTCGATTAGCAACTAACATAATTGGCCTTGCAAAATTGGCAAATTTTATGTTGCTTTTATAGCAATATATAATAAAATTTGAGAGTCGTATACTTTGGTGTAACCCGCTATGAAATTCGTAATGCCGTATTGCATAAGCACAAGCTGCTATAGTGTATCGTCATTTTTCAAAGCCATCATCAGAGAATATATATAATATATTAATCAAGTTTGAAAATTTGTAATCCAGGCATTTAATACATATTTGTAATCCAGGCATTTAATAAAAGTTTCTCCGGGTTTTAAAATGATTTTTATTGAGCTTTCGACAACACCAAAACTAAAACACTACACTCTAATATTATTAACACCAATCATATTCACAATACACCAAAACCCATGGCAACGCATTTCAACCCATCCAATCACATTAATCAACCCAGTAATCCAATTAGACGCTCTAAACGTCTCCAAGCTAAAAGCACGTGTAATTAAATATCCTCATTCTGATGAAGGCTCGAAGCAACGAGTCGAAAGCTCAATAAAAATCATTTTAAAATCTGGAGAAACTTTTATCTTTTATGTAATATATAAATCCTAACACGGTTTTTAATATGCCCATAAAAAACATGTGACTTGTACGATATTTGAACTCGCACCTTCGGGAATATAGTCCACCGCTCTCCCTGTGGGCTTGGAGACGAGTCAAATCTCTTTTAAACTGCGTATGGACGAGAGTAAATATATGTGTGGCATCTGCGCAAAATAGCGAAAGGAAAATAGGACTAAAGTATATTTGCCTATCTCGTGTACGCAAGCCAGGGATCGATATATCTAGACGTATAAACTCATGAAGGATGGATGCTTAGTTATCCACGCAGGTTTATCATGCATGTCTGTCAATATAATTTCAATGTTCAAAAAAATGATACAGTACTTTATTTCCATACAATATTGAATCAATTTTGGGTTGAGTAAATTAATCGTTTTGGGAAAAAATACTGCTTATATGCAATAATTTGCGAGTCATTTGCCATTAGTAATTGGTTCGTTTACAAGTAACACTACGTGGCGACGTCTACATAGGGATGAATTCGCCACGTACTTTTTTCGTTTATTTCATACGGCCCAGTAATATAAGTTCACTGCAAGTCGTCTCTTTGTTAACAGAAGAATTGATAAGAATTCAGAACATCTTCAGATGATTTTCCCTGGTAAATCTAGTCGCTCACTATGTGTGTTTATACGAGTGAGTATTACCACCGGTTCCTAGTGTGACGTTTTAGTTACCAGCTCCCACTTTCAAGGAATTCAAAATTTTTTGTCGTTTAAGGAAATCGACAATATAGATTTTTTTGACTATAAATAAACTTTTACCGTATAAATTATGAAAAATCAAAGTAACTCGTACTCTTCTACTATTTGGCTCATAGAAAATTAGAATTTTATTCATGTTTATTTTACTCCTTGTCAGCCATTTTGTTTTTACTTTGAGAAAATTATGAGGCATGTTTGTGACGTCACAACCAGGTGTTTATGTCATTTCAAAACTTGGTGATTTCGAATGAGGAATCATTCCAACAATTCGAAGATGAAAATACTGTACTGAAAGATGAAGAAATACAACCTTACATGTTTGAACCCAATAAAGAAGATTTGTGTGAGTCTTCGTCTATATCAACGGACGGTTCGAGTATCAGTGACGATGATTTAATTGACCCACAGTTTGAAGCTTTACATCGTTGGAAGCTGGCGACTTTGAAGTTGTTTAAATGTGGAAAGTGTGCTATCATGGAAAAAAGTATAGAAAACTTTTGCTGCCACGAAAAGGCATTGGAATTTGATGAATATAATGCGTTACTAACAAATGCACAAATGGAAGGATCAATTGTGGGACAAGCTTAAATTCATTTGTACTAAACATGCTATCAAAAGAGGTACTTGTGGCACAGTACGTGAAAGATAGTTGGCCTATTAGTGACAATGAATTGGAAAAAAATTTATTGTATGGCTTCGTATAGAAGGTGTTTTATATCATCTCCTTCATATAGAAGGCGATGGGTATTTGATAGTTAGGTAAAAAAAACTCGTAGAGTGTTTCCGTCCTGTATTTACAGAGCATCAGGGCTGAATTTTCTTCACTGACTGGACTTTGCACCCATTTTAAGTTTTCCAAATAAGTTATCTGCCTTACCATAAATAGTAATGTTTGTTATTGAAATAAATCAAAATGACGAACACAACTAGTGCATAAGGGTTTACTATTCACACATTTATAGTTTATTTTATTTATACGTTTTTATTTATAATTATTAAAGATACCATACAAATTTGTACCATTTTCTACTTGTTTGTACAGGTTTCCTTTTTACATTTGCAATTAAGTGTGCAGATTTGATTTTCAAATTTACACAAACATCTTACAGTTGCGCATTTTCCTGAGCATTCACATTCTCTCTCTTTTTCATGAATACTCAAGGTCTGTTTTGTAAATTGAGTATACTTCTTGGCAATGACTGAATCTTTCGCTTGTGCTTCACAGTTTCTAAGGTACTTTTTCACAAGTGATTCTGGCTCTTTCTTTAAAATTTCTTTTGCATGTTTTTTTGCTTGTGCAATGGTTGGAAACCTTCTCCTCAGTTCCAAAACTTCTTGTTGTATAGTTTGTGCATAATCTAAATAAAATATAAAACAAAGGGGAAACAGTTATACAATGCAAGTATAAAAAGATTGTCTGGCTTATTTTGTAAATCAAGTTTGAAAATGTTACTATAGGTTGGTTCTTCTTTTATTTTTCTGGCAATTGCTTTTTCACCATTATTGGCCTTTTAATAGATTACCACCCATCTGTCATCTCCTTTTTCGTCTTAACCTGCTGTCTTTGAGAGTTTTTATTGAAGTGTAAATTGGCACAAAGCAATCTATATTTAAAGTGGATTGTTTCTTTTGCTTGTGTTGCAAAGCATGATTGATATCTACTTGTCAAGCCATATTTAATAAAGTTGGCATGAAATTGTATAAAATAATCTAATGTAATGAAGGAAATATTTACCTGGCCATAATTAAGTGATATGGACAGTAGATGTTTTTAGAAGCAAACTGATTGTCCAAGGCATGTTTTGATTCCAATGAGGAAGTTTGGTAGAAATCCGATAACTTGCGTATTGCAGATATTAGTCTTGGTCGTTTCAAAATTTCTGTCAACTTCTTGTAAGCTGCTCTGCCTATAAATAAAACATTCTTTTTTATCATGCCAATAGATTTTTGTTTGTATGAATTAATAGTAAATATTGTGTTGTATACCTGACTTTAACCATGCTCTTTGCAATGGTCCATGGATGCATTTTCGAAATGTTTTGTTTTCTGTATGTACATGAGTGTTCGCTATATGATTCAACAAACTTAGCCATCTCTCTTCTCTCTCATTCTCATTAGATGTTGATGATGCGACCTAATATATATGGTTTATGATGGACTAAAACCCCATGTAAGTTAAAATTAACTTTGCACATGATTGATGTCTTCCTGACAAGAATATTTTTGTTAGAAGTCCTACCGCAATCCAAGGTTTATATCTTTAAATTTCTTCACTTTTGCTACTTTTAGTAGCTTTTTCTTCTCTCGTAAAAGTAGTTAATGAACTCTTTTTCACGCTTTTGACCGTTGGATAAATCATTCCCGTGTTATAGAATGTGTTTTTTCATATATGTATTGCCAATTTTTGTTATTATCAATAACTATTTGTTATGCTTATGCAAAATTGTACGCTAACAGTTCTTGCCTTTAGCTAAATGCCAAACATCGTAATAGTGTTTGATTGTTGGTTTTTCTTTAGTCATGTAGCTTGACACTTGGGAATGCTTGTCAGTCGCAAGTTTTCGACATTAACGTTTCTTGATCGAGATATAACAGTTGTCGTTTGAGTGATTCCAACTCCATAGCATTAGAATTTGGAACCTCTGTGCTCTGTTTTACAAAAAATAAAATGAATATTTAAACGACTTCTAATCAACTACCTGCATCTGTTTTCATTTCAGTCATTATATAATTATTGCGTGAGAACGAGCTTCCACGCAACTATAACAAACTCATCTAGTACACACCTTGATGATCTGCGTGTCGTTAATGATATTTCTTTCTAAATCAAGATTACTACCCGCTCCAAAAAAACTACTGTGGCCTGGGCTGTCTACCCTCTTATCTGACGCTATTTGAATAGATTTTTTTGGACTTCAGAAAGCATTTGCTGTTGCTCTTTTTTCCAAAGATTGTTCACAGCCGGGATGGCATAGGCAGTTTGGATGTTTGCAAATTCTCTTTTTTTTAATGTAATATGTTCATCGACTTAAAGAAGCGCAATGCCTTATTACACTCCAATCCGGTGGTAAGGATGTTTGTTGCCACAACCCAGTGGGCAATTGATGTCGGATCGACGTCGAAATCGACGTAATTTTGACGTTCTTTCCACGTCGAAATACCTATGCTAAATCGACGTCGTTGTTTCGACTCTATTTCGACGTTCTTCGACGTCGAAATGCTGACGGTCAATCGACGCCGTTGTTTCAACTCTATTTTGACGTTCTTTCGACGTCGAAATGCTGACGCTCAATGGACGTCGTTGTTTCAACTCTATTTTGACGTTCTTTAGACGTCGAAATGCTGACGCTCAATGGACGTCGTTGTTTCAACTCTATTTTGACGTTCTTTCGACGTCGAAATGCTGACGCTCAATGGACGTCATTGTTTCAACTCTATTTTGACGTTCTTTCAACGTCGAAATGCTGACGCTCAATGGACGTCGTTGTTTCAACTATATTTTGACGTTCTTTCGACGTCGAAATGCTGACGCTCAATCGACGCCGTTGCTTCGACTCCATTTCGACGTTCTTTCGACGTCGAAATGCTGACGCTCAATGGACGTCGTTGTTTCAACTCTATTTCGACGTTCTTTAGACGTCGAAATGCTGACGCTCAATCGACGCCGTTGCTTCGACTCCATTTTGACGTTCTTTCGACGTTGAAATGCTGACGCTCAATCGACGCCGTTGTTTCAACTCCACTTCGACGTTCCTTCGACGTCGAAATGCTGACGCTCAATGGACGTCGTTGTTTCAACTCCATTTTGACGTTCTTTCGACGTCGAAATGCTGACGCTCAATCGACGCCGTTGCTTCGACTCCATTTCGACGTTCTTTCGACGTCGAAATGCTGACGCTCAATGGACGTCGTTGTTTCAACTCTATTTTGACGTTCTTTCGACGTCGTAATGCTGACGCTCAATGGACGTCGTTGTTTCAACTCTATTTTGACGTTCTTTCGACGTCGAAATGCTGACGCTCAATCGACGCCGTTGCTTCGACTCCATTTCGACGTTCTTTCGACGTCGAAATGCTGACGCTCAATGGACGTCGTTGTTTCAACTCTATTTTGACGTTCTTTAGACGTCGAAATGCTGACGCTCAATCGACGTCGTTGTTTCAACTCTATTTCGACGTTGAAACAACATCAATTTTCGTTGAAAATGCGTCGAAATCACGACGATGCATATTTCACCATGTTATTAACTAAAAAAGAAACTTGTGCAGTGTGATGGGTAACATTTTAATTTTTTCATTATAAAATTTGTTATATGGCATGTTTCTTCTGGCAACAAACGCATAACATCGATCAGAAATTCTTCCGTAATTACACTATCAACCAATTACCATCGGACTGGATCAAGTGATACCCGAGTTGGATAAGCATTATCTTTATAGTTAATACTATTTATCCATCTTTATTGAAGCCATATGCACGTGGAGCAGAAAGCCTGGCACGATTTTCAGTGGCGTGGTGGCATAGTTTTACTGCGGTGGCCACACAAATTTTGCGCCCCTTTCACCTTTTCTTATAGCTATTTTCAAGTATTTTAGCTTATTTTATAAAGACAAACATGAATCTTCATAAAAGAAAGTAACTAAAACCAAATATCATCAAGCCTTTGCAAGCGTTGGGGAGCTTTTCCCAAGTAAAGTTATGATTCTATCTTTGTCGATAGAAAGGAGAGTTTCCCTTTCAACTTCCATTAAAAGCAATGATTCCCTTCGTTCCTGAACCATCGTAGATCGAATCTTCGTTTTAACTCTCTTCAGCGAAGAAAAAGAACGTTCAGCAGTTGCTGAGCTAATGGGTATGGCCACTGCAATTGAATAAACTTTGCATAATGTTGGGTATGCGTCGACTAAATGGTACTTTCAAAAACAAAGCAGCTTCAAGGCATCTAAGAATGACGGGATTTTAGCCTTCTCGGTAATTGACGCATTATTCGAATGCTTACTTATGTCAGTATCAGAATGATTTTCATCATCATCATCACCATCACCATCATCAATAGTTTCAAAGTTCTGCTCATTATGATCATGGTCACTTTTAGTTGTAAACTGAGAACAGTGAAATTTTTTAAATGTTTCTGCAAAGCTTAACATTTCAGTAGCTCATCTTTGGGAATCTATCTTATATACATCACAAAAGGCTTTCACTGCAGATTGAAGATCATGAGATGTCTTGTACTTGCTCGAGAGCTCGTCAAATTGATTGGGTGCGAATAAAGCAAATGATTTCATTAGTGGTCGATTCTTTTCAAAACGATTCTTCATTGAAGATTGAATGGAATCTAGCACTTTATAAAATGTGTCTCGCCTCCATTGTGCTTTTGGTGAATCTGCCAAATCATCTCTGGCTTGTTCTCCGTCCATTGGTCGTCGACGACGAGTTCGTGTAGACCTCCATTCGACATCTAAAGCAAAAGAATCGGACATTTCAATGATTTTTTCTGGTTTGTCACGTATGATTTGAATTCTAGTAATTGAGCTATCAACCAAATCCTTTGCTTTTCCAAAGTCAGCATTTACGCTCTGTAGATATCGACTTAAAGGTCCAGTAATTCCAAAAATTTCTTGGAAAAGACAGGTAGTCGCAACAAATTGCTTTGTCTGAAAAGCTGCTTGCAATCCATTTGCTGTTGCTCGCTGACTTTCAGTGAACGATCTTTCCTCAGCCACTTTTTGGAGCACTTGCATGATGCACTAGAACCTCAAAAGAAATACGTTTAGACAAAATTCTCTTGCATTCCATCGAACTGTATTAAGACGTTTAATCGAAAAAATTTTGAGGTTTTCATTCTTTTGAACCAATTGAAACAATTCGTGTACTTTATGAGAATTATTAAAGAGAACGTGGAGTTTTTCGAGAGAGTCAAAAAGAGTAATGACATCAATAGCAACAAAAGCTGAATCGGATAAGACGAGATTTAGTGTATGCGCATAGCAGTGAACAAAGATGATGTGGTTTCCGATGTTCTCTTTTATAATTGCCTGCAAACCATTATAACATCCGCTCATAGTTGATGCTCCGTCATACGTTTGGGCAACAAGTTTTTCAAATGAAACTCCATGCAATTGTAATATTGTTGTAATAGCAGTGTATAGTTCATGTGCAGTTGTTTCATTAACAAGCCTTACGCATATACTCAATTGCCCTGTATGAGTTATATCGGGTGTTGTATCAGCAATCAATGCCTATGCTTTGCAGTTGCGTATTTTTTGTAGAATTACAGAAGATATTTCTTTACCAATGATGTTGATTAACTTCTTTTGAATATCATTGCTCAAAAACGTTAGCCATGAGCCACGTCCTTTGATTCCTTTTTCATCAGTTTTACCACCATCCTTTGTCGATTGCATCACTTGGTGATCACGAACTTTCTCAAGATGCTCATTGATTGGTTGATCGTACTCTGACAATAATTTAAGCGTTTCCAAAAAGTTTCCTGTATTAACATAGAAATTTGTCAGTGATTCACAGTGACCCCTAAAGGAAAGCCCTTGTCTTCCAAGAAACATAATAACATCTATCACACGTTTCAAAACTTTATTGTTTAAAATCACTCCCTTTTTACGTCTTTCAGACTCGATTTTCCCCTGGTGATGAAACTGATCCGATATTGAGTTTTCTTGAAGGAAAAGAGCTTCTGCAACTTTTGCGTTTAGATGAGAATTGCATTTTTCATGCTCCAGATTTCTAGTATACTGCTTTTTCCATTTGGAGAAACCAATCTTTGCAAAAGCTTTTCCTTGATTTGACCGAATATTTTCCCCCCTAGACGTTACATCTGTAAACAGAATGCACGGTATGCAAAACAAGCTGTCTTCACTTAGAGAGTAGGAAATCCATTTTCGTCTTGTTCCATCATCGTGGAAAAAAACCTGCTGGGAGCAATGGCGAGAGCGATCTCCTTGTACTATCCTCCTTTGTTTCAAAACAAACTGGGATGGTTGGCATGGATTCATTTTAAGTAAACGCATTTTTTCGCTAATGCTGAGATTAAGATCAACAACTGTCCCAGGGTCAAACGTGTTTTCTTTCGTATCAATAGAAATATTTCGATTCAATTCGTTTTCAACAGATTCTGAGATGCCTTCGCCTTCCTTACGTTCATTTGAATTGACAAAGCTGTCAATATCAGGGCATTCACCAACAGGATCATTGCTTTTGATTGATTTGAAAGTATGCTCATCTTGATCGTTTACATCTGTCGACTCTTTTTCGCGCATGCACTTGTTTAAGGTCTTCACTGATGTTCGGCGTTTCCCTGAGTTTTAATTCTAACTCCTTTGTTGTTTGTGCCAAAATGCATGGTGGGTCATTTTGTATAGGTTTAAAGTAATCAAGCAAAACTCCCCCAAGTTTTGAAAATTCTTCTTTTCTAGCTTTCTTTAATCTTCGATACTCAGCACCCGACTTTTTTCTCTTCGTGGTGTTGAAAGAATTAGACATTGCAGTTAGTCTTCAACATTGCACCATGATCCATGATGTACATTAAATAATATTAAAATACACTTCCCAACACAAATGGAATTATCAAATGAAATGTTTGTTGTATGAATTACATCTGTATTACATCTGCTCAAAATGAAAGTTTTGCGTTTTGAGACATTAATTTAATTGGTCTTCAAATGTTGTTGTTTAAAAATATCTTAATTTCAATTAAATATATGCTGTTATATATGCACATTCGATAACTGCGGATAAATGAATCTTGAACATTTACGAATAAGCTTTAAGTGATTTAAAAAAGTTTTACCGTATAATAACTTGCTTTACTACTGAAAATGACAAATGAATCGTCGTAACGATGAAAATGTAAATAACACAATACAAACAATGCAGTACATGCTGCGGTATCATTAAGTGCTACTTCATGTTAGACTCTGCATTATGATTGCAATTTACCGATGACTGCACTACTGTCATTTTTAAAAAATATATTATTACGCTTGGATTAGTAATAAGATACAATGCCAGTAACGATTACTGTCTGTGAGGGAAGCAAAAAACATTGATTAAGATAGGCAAAAATTACATTTAAGGCCTTGTTGTGCCCCCTTAAGAGGACAATTTGGCGTGTATGCATAGGCGAAACTAGAATGCTAATTGGGGGTGGTGATGTTAAATTCAATAGAAATCAACAGGGCAAAGCTGAATATATGAATATTCACCCCCCCAATTAGCATTCTAGTTTCTCCTGCATGTATGTTGTCTACAGTCATCGTGACAAATCATGCAGCGTTGTAGGCCACAAACGAAACATCTAATTATAGAATGCTCGTCAATATCTTATTCTTTAATCGACCCCGTGATAAGGTTTTATTTTGGTCTGTCTACTTTTTCCCTAATTCCCTAAAGTTAACTTCATTCACTGAATATATAACTGCGAAAATAACTGTTCTGTTTCAAATGCCTTTTTAATTTTTTATAGCCCATTTTTAAAACTTGATAATTCGTCTTCAATTCAGCGCCCCCCAAAATCAACAGCTAGGGGGGCCCTGGCCCCCCTGGCCAACACGCCACTGGGCACGATAGCCTACTAATCTTTCTCACCCGAACGTTTGCCCCCTGATTGAGCCATATAGCACAACACGTGTTTTAAAATTCCAACGATCGGGGAGACAAATTTTCCTATTTTGTATTTGGATGTTAGTCAGGGTTGGATTAAATAAGATTTTACATAGTCAAAATCTTCTTTATTCTTTAATTCATACAAAGAAGATTAAAAAAGATTAAAGAAGATTGAAGATGACTTTGTAGAGTATAGCTGAAAGTTATGTATATAACACTTTTTATTACAATTTTGCGACATAAAGTTAGACTAATTTAAAATTTAAAATTACAATCTAATCTAGTGAATCCAATGACAGTGAACTACATTCCAAACTTTCCATAACCTTTTTTGATTTTTCACATTTCATCTATTTTTTATTTTTAAAGGTATAAATAAAACAGCATAATTAAGTACTTATATAAACTTGACCACTTGAATGATTACTCAAGCCACAATGGTCGCACAACATGAAGTGCAATTAATTATTGAATGAATATATCAACCTTTGTTATCAACATCAATGAACAATAAAGATTTTGAGACAAATTTGAAATCTTTAATTATTTAAAGAAGATTAAAGAAGATTTATTGAAAGAAGAATGGCCAACCCCGACGTTTGTTGATGTTTTCAATCTCCTGATATTTTGGATTTACTGCGGATTCTCAAAAAGGACATCTAAGACTATGGCATCTTTGTTTTATTTACGTAGAGCATAAATTGTTAGTGTGATTAGTGATACCTATTAATTTGAGTCAACAACTCAACATCGACATTATGATGGTTTAGTGTTTTCCTATTTTTGAACCTTTGTGATGTCTAACAACTAAAATAGAAAAATTTTCTCAAAAATATTTTGTTGCTGAGATATTTGCAGCAAAGGTTTTATAGATTGCACAAAAATGCACGAAATGTTCAGTGTATAAAACGCGCTTCTTGTTGTCTGGGATTGGTATGTCGGCAAAGCCTAAGTTGTAGGATCTGCTAAAATAAACGTTTCTACGTCTTATAACGACTAAATATTGAAAAAGTATATAAGCGTGACGAACGGACTAAAATCATTTTATTTGCGCGTTTTGCGTCCGCCGTCTGCGTCCGCTTTTCATCTACACCCTTAATTTATAGGCTATTTAAGAGTTTACTCACATATATATGTGCTGATAAAACATTATACTTTAACGCAGACTTCTGTTTTATTATATTGTTTGAGTATGAAAGTAATACAGTATCATGACATTCACTAGTACCTCTTATAGTTCAATTATCAAGGCTAAAAGGCTCACTTTTAAAATCTTGAAATAGCTTATTCAAAGCAGCCAAATAATATAAAGAAAAATTAATTTGTTTTCTTTACAGTGTTCATCAATACCTTTATACCTCCAACTCCAAGAATAGTCAAGAATTGCGGGAATATATATATGGATAAATTCCATGATATGTGGGTAAGGACAGGGGCGGATCTAGAGTATGTCAAATCCGTCGCGCAACTGATGTTTGAAACTCAAAAATTACCTATTCATATTAGTTAAAAATTCATTAATTATTCTTACTTTATTATCGCGTTTACTTCGTGATAAAAATCCAGCTTAATTTATTATTGAAAACTAATGACTAATCCAATGAATATCTCCTTGGTAACCAGATCAGTTGAATTTTAATCAGTGAACTCCATATATATATATATATATGGAATGATAACGACAATACATTTTATAGATATAAAATTGAAGCCAAAGTCCTAGTCTCTTGCGCGGTTTGTACGTCAGTTCCAGTCCTTCAAAGTCGAATATTCACGCGGTTTGTACCATTGAGCTCTATAAAACCTGGAGGGGCAAAGGGGCCTGGACCCCGTGGTCAAAACATGGCGGTAATGGCGGATTTTGGTGGTCAAAACTTCCACTTTAAATTTTTTTTTCAATATTCACTCCCTCCTGATTTCCAATACTGTTCGTATGAACGAAAACAAGTGAGAAAAAAAAACAATTACGATACCGACAGCATATCATGTGAAAATAATGCTTCAGCATTGCGTGAAAAACACAGTACAGACACACATCAAAATAAAGAAGATCGACGGTAGAGAAACGCATATTTTGATGTAACATTTAAGTTATTTTATGATATTTAGCCTTTTAAAAGTGAAAATCAAACGGCATTCTTTACTAGACCTGTCAATCTCGTCAAACTTATACATTATTTCATGCTTTTGTGTGTTTGACTGTTTGTAAACAGTTTGGTGCACCTATTTTCTTGCTTCAAATGGATAAATCTGTGTAAAAATGCTCCTAAGGAAGCGA